GCGTTTCTGCATCACAAATGGTGTGAACAAGTCCTAAGTGCCAGTTGACACTATAGAAACACAGTCTAGATGTGTTCCAGATGCGTTTTTGCATGCACTTTTTTGATGCATGTTTAGTGTGTTCCAGAGCATTTTGGGTGCGTTTTTGATGTGTTCCACTGCATTTTGGATGTGTTTTTTGTGTGTTCCAGTGCATTTTGGATGTGTTTTTGGAGTGTTCCAGTGCATTTTGGATGTGTTTTTGACGTGTTCCAGTGAATTTTTTTATATATTCCAGTTAATTTTCTTCCCCTCTCTTTTTCTTAAATTTAATTAGGACCTTGTTCCAGTACAGTTCTATGCATAAACAATGCAGCCTGTTTGACTTTTTTGGCAGCACCTGCAACGCACTGGAACTGCAAGCGCTGATGTGAACTATGACATTGACAACCATATAACCTTCTTTCTGTACGTTTTGGATGCAAAAAAAGCAACTGACACACATGTAGTGTGAACTGGCCCAAAAGGTAATTATAGGTCAGGAAACGGGACTGACCAGAAATTGTGAGTTCAATCAGACTAGTGGTGAGATACAATCAGGAATCATATAATAATGCGAGATCTGAGCTGTAGGTGATAGGAAATGAGACACATTAACTTGATCAGTAAATAAATAGTTAAATAAAAAGAGAGGGGCGGTGATACATAGATTTGCAGATGGAACAGGTGATCACAGGGGGGGGGGTCAAGTTGTATAAGGAGAGAGGTTTAAGGGCTCGTTCACACTTGACTATATTTCTAATTCATGCCAAACGGTCCTAAAGTGTTTGACAGGTGTTTGGGAAGCGTTTTTAATGCTCCTCAAAATGCTCCCCAAATGCCCTATGTGCGGTTTTGAGGCATGTGATAAGCATTTACCAAGTGTTAAAACTGCACCGCAAATGCCTGTAATGAAGTTAAATGGTATTGACGCTTCGAAAATGCCTCGCAACCACACCGCTTCAACTCCTCCTGACTCAACATGAGGCGCCAGTTTTGCCGTGATGCAATGCTAACGCTTCAGTGTGAACAGCACTGTGTGCTGCCATGTGCAGAATTTTCACAGTTTGAGAAGCGTAAAAAAAACACTTCCCAAACGCTTTTCTATCGCCTGCTGACAAAGCTAAGTGTGAACGTAGCCTTAGAGAAGATAAAGTTGTAATGAAATATAAACAGAAGGAAAATTGAAAGTTTCAAACTTGTCAGAAGAACAGGACGCAGGTAAGATTCACTCCCTTTCCACTTTCTAGTCAGTAGCCAAAATCTTAATTGATTGATCGATATTCCTGGTACTGACAGAACCCTGGAAATTGATCTCCATATTTTGGGCATTCACAAATGTCAAGGAGCTTACAATATAATGCAGGCCCTAGATGGGTCGAAAATTGGCCGAAAAAAAAAAAAAAAATCAGCCAATTTTTGCACCGTAAGTGGGTTAATTGGTCGGCCGTTTTTCGGGGTTTTGGAACATTTTTTTATCGGTAAAGTTGGAAAATTTGCAGCCGATTTTGACGATTGGCCGATTTTCCCGGCAATGATGGGCAAATCGGCTGATCGTTTTACCGATAAAAAATCTGTGCATGGGCCGTGACCTGCAAGAAGAAGAAAAAGAAGAAGAAAAAGAATTCCAGTCCGCTATTATATTTTACACGAAAAGTCTTGCGGTTGCAACAATGTATCTATTTGTATCCAAATAAAAACATCTGTATCCAAAATGGATACATTGTTGCAACTGCAATACTTTTCATTTAAAATATAATAGCGGAGCTCTCTGCAAGGGAGAGAAGTAAATATGCCGGCCGTAGATGGGACGAAAATCGGATGATTTTTTTACCGTTGGTGGTAACTTCGGCCGATTGAACGACCGATTTTTTTCATTTTTTTTTTTAAAACGGCTGGTTTTTGACATATACTAGGCCCAATTAACCTAACAGCATGTCTTTGGAGTGTTGGCAGAAATACACCCGTGCAGAGAAAGCATGCAAACTGAGATGCAGACAGGTGCAGCCATGACTGGAATTCTAACCACTAAGCCACTGTAGGAGACAGAGTTTGAGCTGCAATGTAGAATAGTTACATTGTTTAAAAATAATGATAAAGCGAGCACTGGTAAAATTATATAGACTACTAAAATGGTATTACACAAGATAAATATAAATCTAGGTATAGATATGAAGGTAGCAGCTAGCACTCAGGGTATTGGCAACAGTCCCAGAATAGAAATATGTTAAAGTAATACTGCAGCACTATAAATGCATGTTAACAATCATAAAAGCATGTAAATTCAACAAAGTGCAAATAAGTGCAATAATGATGTAAACTGGTAAATGGTGCTAAAAAAAAGTTCATATAATCATTCTTGAATAATGGAATGTCTTTCGTATGAGAGTACCAACTCAGAAAGTGCCTATGAATGGCATTTGTGGTTTATCCGTGACGGACAGTAGTGCATGGACTCGTGAAAGGTAATTCACCCTTGGGATGGGTGTACACTCACCAGAACAAAAGTATTAATGCGCATGGGTTATACACATCACACATCCAACTCCATCCATCGATCCATCAGGGTGGGTGCCAAAATGGTCCTGGGGAGAAATTAGCTCAGCCACAGGAGCCAGAAAGGTGCTTAATAGTGTAGTACTTTATTATAATGGTCACAAGTAACAATTTAAAATATCCACGTGGAGTAATAAAAATAATAGCAAAGCGAGTACCAAGATGGCAGACGCACCTCAATGGCAGCGGCGTGACGTCAGCAATAGGGATCCACCCAATGCATTTCATGTACCAACAGGTCCTATTGGTGTGCTCCTGAGGGCATGTTGGTACTCAATGTATTGAGTGGAGCCCTATTGCTGAACGCCACCACCAATGAGGAGCATCCGCCATACTGTCCATCACGGATAAACCACACGTAACCCATAGCTGCCAGCATACCGCTGCACCCCCAGATGTGTGATGTGTATAACCCATGCGCATTAATACTTTTGTTCTAGTGAGTGTACACCCATCCCAAGGGTGGATTACCTTTCACGAGTCCATGCACTACTGTCCGTCATGGATAAACCACAAATGCCATTCATAAGCACTTTCTGAGTTGGCACTTTCATACCAAGGACATTCCATTATTCAAGAATGATTATATGAACTTTTTTAGCACCATTTACCAGTTTACATCCATATTAAACTTATTTGCACTTTTTTGATTTTACATGCGTTTATGATTGATAACATGCATTTATAGCGCTGCACTATTACTTTAACATAGAATAGTTACATGATTAAAGAGAATGAAGATAAATAATTATATTGGGAAATTAGAACTAGACATTTCCAATTATTTGAGATATGTGTGAAAATGTTTGACATTTGAAAATAGAATGTATGACATTCATTAGGAAATGCATTAGTTGTCTGATCATTTTGGAGAAACAGCAACCCAAAAAAAAAAAAAAAAAAATATAGATGTACTTTTTACTTTAACCCCTTGACGCCGACGTAACACAAATATGCGGCCTCACGGACCTGGGCTTTTTTCCGTGGGGCCACATATTTGCGTACCTGTCTTTGTGCTGGGAGCGCGCCGTTTCTGGACTGTACTACGGGTACAAACAACAAATAACATACACATATATGGTATCGCTGCGATCGTCAAGAACTGGAGAATGTATTTTGAGTTGTTCTTTGGTGGTAGGTTATGGTCGTAACAAGAAACACACAGTTAAATTTAAAAAAATTATTTTTTTTACTATTTTGGCCCAGTTTTCCTTTAATAATAAAAAAAAATTAGGAGCTATCCATGACCATTTACCACCAAATGAAAGCCCAATTTGTCCTGAAAAAAACAAGGTATAATCCACCTGGATGTACAAAGTAGTTGTGACGATATGTATGGTTTTACTAACATGTCAACGTTGCAGAATTGTGCTTAGGCATTTAGATTTGTTTTACCCTTAGGCGTGAAGGGGTTAAATTATAAGTATTCTCATATGCAAACAGAAAAACGTCAAAGGGACAAAGCCCCCAGTTGTGCGCCACCTAGTGAATATATCCGGTATTGCACCTAAAAATGTGCTAGATGCGATTAGACATTTACTAACAGGAAAGAGCCTACAAAGTATACACTTTTCAATGAGTTTGCTAGATGCCTTTCAGAAGACTGACAGGTCTAGATTGTTTGAATTGAGTCTGCCTGAATGTTCAGTGTCTGCTGGTAGACTCAATTCTTAGTAAATCAGGGCCATAGCGTCCATTAATCACCTCACCTTTATTTATTTATATATACACGCATATACACACACACACTATATTGCCAAAAGTATTTACACGCGCACATGAATTTTAGTCGCATTCCAGTCTTAGTCTGTAGGGTCCAATATTGTGTTGACCCACCCTTTGCAGCTATAACAGCTTTAACTGTTCAGGGAAGGATGTCCACAAGGTTTAGGAGTGTGTCTATGGGACTGTTTGACCATTCTTCCAGAATCACATTTGGGGCGACTGAATGTCAGACACTGAAGTCAGACGAGAAGGCCTGGCTCACAGTCTCCGCTTGAATTCATCCCAAAGGTGTTCTATCGGGTCAGGACTCTATGCAGGCCAGTTAACCTCCCTGGCGGTATGATTATTTCAGATTTTTGGTGTTGAAAGCGGTACCATTATTTTGCATGGAAATATGTAGTTTTTTTTTTGTAGGCCTGTCATTTTTAGGAATAACTCACTGAAATCTGTCCAAACAAGAGTCTAGTAAACATTCCGGATATGATAAAACTTGAAACACGAAATCATAAATTATAATTTAATAAATAATCATAAAAAAATAATAATATAATAATAATAATAATAAAAAATGTAATTCAATACTATAATCAAACCAAAAACACTGAAATTTGAAATATAGCGCCAAGTTCGCACATCGCTGAGCAAAGTCGCAAAATCGTTTTCAGTGTCTGATGACGAATTTCTCCGCAAATCATTATCACTCAATTCTGCAAGTGGTTCTGGTTTACTATCACTGTTCTCTAACTGGTCTAAAACCGCTTTTGACCTAAAGGGATGCTTTTTGGACGCCATGGACTTTTCTAAGTTTCCAGGCAGAAAGAACAGTCAAAATGCAGGCAGAGCACAGGACAAAGCAGTAGGGACAAAATGTATGAGAAATGCTTTGAAACAGCAATGTTTTACTATGTAATAATCGTTTTAAAAAAAAATGAAATTTTTAAAACTTTCAAATTTGCCACCGGTTCCGGGGCCGTATACCCTGACGTCACAGGGACCAGAACATGGAAGCCGGAATCGGCCGGCGGAGATGGCCGGGGATGCTGCAGGGGACACATCACGGGAGCGAAGGACAAGGTAATCGCTGCAGTGAATCCCTGAGCAACACCGCATGGTAAGCCCGAGTGTAGCTCGGGGTTACCGCTTTTGGTACTGAAACTCTACCCCGAGCTACACTTGGGAATACCGCCAGGGAGGTTAAGTTCCTCCATCCCAAACTTGCTCTTACATGTCTTTATGGAACTTGATTTGTACACTGGTGCGCAGTCATGTTGGAACAGGAAGGGGCCATCCCCAAACTGTTCCCACAAGTTGGGAGCATGAAATTGTCCAAAATGTCTTGGTATGCTGACGCCTTAAGAGTTCCTTTTACTGGAACTAAGGGGCCAAGCCCAACTCCTGAGAAACAAACCCCAACCATAATGCCCCCTCCCCCAAACTTTACACTTGGCACAATGCAGTCAAGCAAGTACTGTTATCCTGGCAACTGTCAAACTCAGACACATCCATCAGACAGACAGACAGCTAGACAGAGAAGCATGATTCATCACTCCAGAGAACACTTTTCCACTGTTCTAGAGTTCAGAGGTGGCATGCTTTACACCACTGCATCCAACACTTTGCATTGCACTTGTGATGTAAGGCTTGGATGCAGCTCCTCGGCCATGGAAACCCATTCCATGATGTTCTTTATGCACTGTTGTTGTGATAATCTGAAGGCCACACGAAGTTTGGAGGTCTTTAGCTATTAGCTTTGCAGGCAGTTGGCACACTGTGCGCTTCAGCATGTGCTGACCCTGCTCTGTCATTTTACATGGTTGCTGTTGTTAGATATTTCTGTCCCCAGTGAGCAAAGAAAAAAGCTACTAAAGGATAAGTGTAACGGACCGCCTGACAGCACCTCTATCAGTCCCCCGGTAGAGCCTCCCCAGAGTGCGGAGTCTAAGCACCGGAGCACTTGTTCACCAGGGCCCCTGATGGTGGGGATGGACTTGGAGCGCTCCTGTACCAGGTCGCAACTACCAGGTATCTCCAACAGGGGTAGAGGAGTCTGACAGGGGCTCCAGAGAGCTAGGAGTCTGATGTAAGGGAGCCTAGTGATCCCTGCGGGGTGGGAGGATGGATGAGCTAAATCAGAGTCATGCAGGTCGGGTCGGTAACTAGCGGATCGGTAAGGTACAAAACGGTAGGCAAAGGATAGTCGGGTCACACGCAGGGTCAATACCAGGAGGTCAGATCTAAACGGGAACATCCAGGAGCAGAGTCAGGCAAGCCAAGGGGTCAGGACGGGAGAAGGCAACAAGGTCAAAACAATCCAGATCAGAAGTACTCACACACAGGTAACAGGATACAAAGACCATTCGGCAACAAGTGTCTGTGCAGGGCTAGTTTAAATAGCCCGCCCTGCACCTGACAGGTGTAGCCTGGGTCCCAGTACCTGCCTAGTACTGTCCAGACGACGGGTGCGCCTGGGTCCTAGTGCCCTGCCACCTATACGTCTCGGCAGATACCTACGCATGTGTAGACCCATGCGTCGTGATGGTTCCTGACAATAAGGCTGGCTCACTTTGGGACCTCAGAAGCTAATGACAAGGTTCAATATGAGACAAAGAAAGAGCTCTTTAACTAGCGAGGTTACAGTCCCTTTAACTGCACTGAAAGATCTTCTTGGCGCTTGTTCAGGCCCAGTTGGTGCACTACAAGAATTCAGATCTCCTTGGTTGCAACAGTGCAAGTCCCTCAAAGGAATGTAGGCCAATACAGACACTATCTCTTTTAGTGGTATTTAACTTTGGAAGTACCCCTTTAAGGCACAAGATGGGATGCAGGTTTTAGGCAAGAGGTTTAAAGGGTGGGCAAAAGCACTTATTGGCAAAAGGTTAATTTCCTCTCTAGGATGTCCCTTGATGGATGTAGACCAATTGCAGAGGAAACAGTAGTGTGGCTTGGTCCGTAGAGGGCAAACACTGCAGTTGGCTCTAATGACTGGATTATGCGGGAAATGTATATGCTAGTAGGCCAGGTGAGCTAGGCCTCAACTTGTGTAACTTGTGAACAATGTCAGTAACTAGATAGAGAATAGCTTATGCAAGAGAATGTCAGTGACAACTTAATTGGCTGGAGATTGGGACTCTCTCACCTGATCTGTGGGGTCATCCCAGTTGCTGGTGGTTTCACTGCAGATGGGGGCCCACAGCAGTTCATTCCTGACTGCAGCACTCTGGGACACCAGCTGACAAGGTAGTTCTCCACATTCTTTGGCAATGTCAGCGGTTGACTGTTCCCTCTTTCTCCGCATTTGCTTTCTCTCTCTCTGCGGCCTGGTCTGGTCCTCCGGTGTTCGCACAGCTTTCTCTTCACACCTTCCTTCCAACACTCTCCCAGCTCACTTCCTGCCTTGATTCCTGGACTTCACCATTTATGTGTCTCTGCCAACACACCAGCTCCTCTGGGAAATGCACTCCCCCAATTAGCTGCCTTCTAACAAAGTTCTGCAGTTTATCCTATAAGATCCATAAAGCTTTTCACCAGAGTGTGTGCTACTAAGTTGCAGGACACTGCTACCTTGTGCCCCTTTTAACATCCTGCAGTTTGAATAATAGCAGGGTGTTACATTCTAACACTCCCAGGGTACTTCTGCTAGTCAATGGACTAATTTTTCCCATGTTATACAGATACTGACTGTAGCAAACTGGCTCATCAGAGTTGGACAGGGAGTTCTCCTTTTCTATTGGAGGTATTCCTCGGTCCTTCATTCCCTACCCCCTCCCTTCCTGAGAGGCACAGTGACAGATGGTGCGGGTCAACCGCAGGTTAAGGCATCCTTAGTTCGGGGCCGAGCAGTCTGTGAAAGTGTAGCCTTCCTCACCTAAGTCATGATAACGCCAGCATTCCTCAGAGAATTGGGAAGCACTGACCCAAAAACTTGTGCAGGCTCCCACATCATAAAACAGATAAGGCAGTTTCTGCCAGGGATTGAAAGAGATTGTAACCTCACAAAAGATGACAATGAAATGAACAGTCCTCAAGTCAGGTTTTTCCCCTATGTTTCATGTCATGGATTATGACAGATGTTGGTTCTAATTCAGAATTCGCCCGACTGACCCCTCCCAAAACAGCGTAGTGGCCAGTATTCAGAGCCACCCCCCCTTGCAGGGGGATTTTAAAAAGACAGGCTGGCAAGCCTAAGGGAAGCAAAACACATCTCCTGATCTTAACATCATAACAGCAGGAGATCAAAGACCCTTTCTGCTCTGCAACTTGGATCTGCTTACAAACCAAGGTGTACTGGCAAGTAACTTAACCCTTTAACTTCCTTCCTATTATCTCTTTGCTGTGTTGTGGGTGTTTATCTATATATAAATATATATCTTAGTTACATCTTTTTCTGTAAATATTTTATTGCACCTGTTTGACTCTTTTAGTAATAAATCTTTCTTTCTGAAAGTGTTAAACTGTTTCTAAGCGCTTACTTGCAATTCACAAATTCCTGCCTTTTGAAGAGACTACTGTGTTTGTTTAATCCTCTGCCCAATCGGCCTGCAGTGACCGTATTGGACAGGCGACTTTTCAACCATTACAGTGCATATTTGATAAAGAGAGTTTCCCCTTTCTCTGTACAAAAAGGGGTGGTGGCAGTGAAGGGTTAGTTGCGTAATTATATATATACAACCTTTTTGTAAATTATAAAAATTAATTAATAAAATAAAATAAAAATAAAAATCAATTTCAAATTACAAACATATAATGTGCAACAAAGTCCCACTGATCCAAAAAAATGTCCAAAAAGAAGTCCAAAATAGTGTTCACAAATATCCCAAATATATTCACTCTTTTCCTCCACTGAAAGGATCGGCTGCTATTCCATCCAAAACGCACCTCAAAATAAGATATAAAAATATCTAGTGCATTACCTCAATAATAATAAAAATAACAATAATCACCCCGTGCAACCAAAATACACTTCAAAAACTTATAGTGAGAAAAAAAAAAAAAGTATATATTAAATTAATTCCTTATAGTGCATATATTCACACACATCAAACTGTGAACACTCTGTGGTCATTGCAAATCAGTGTCTACCATCAACCAGCACACAGTAGTACTAAATACTATTACCCTCTTATGAGTATTGAAAATGCTCAGACACTATTATGGAATATTATTCTTCCACCTCATCTTCCAAGTTATTTATTTTCTTTTCAAGGTCCTCAGAGAGAAAACAGGGTCTCAGGGCTAGTGTTTCAAGTATATAAATCACTTTTTATTCAACACTTACATGTAAAATTAGAAATATCAGCTCCAGACATGGTTAGACACTTCTCCAACCAAACACCATGTATTTAAAACCAACAAAATGTCCGCGGCGACACTTCCGGTCTACGTACGCGCGCCTTGACGTCACTCCCCTAACGTGTTTCGTCACTTCCGGACTTCATCTGAAGGGATAAAGACGTCCCACTTGCCGCTCCTTATATGCCCATACCTCCTAATGACTTGAGGCTCCGACCGCCATTTTGCAATGGGGAAAACCGTGATATTCATCCTTATTATAATCCATATAAACCAGTGAATCGTTTTTTGTATAAAACGGTCCAAGCAGTGCACAATGCCCAGGAATGTCACAAGATTATATGTACAAAAACATATAATCAAACTATTATAATATTTCAACATACTAACGGCCCATTCTTCACTTTTAAAACCAAATACATACAGACAGATATTTCAATCAATTTATACATGAATAAAACTATTGTTATCCCAATATTAAATTCACCTATCACCAATCAAATAATTTAATACATTTTTATAAACAATATTCATAATAATACTAATAGCCCCTAAATCAATCAGTTATTATAAACCTATCCTATATCCACATATATCCTAATGTTATACTCCCTCTAGTGGTAGTCCCAAATTGTCAATTCCTCTCATCACTCACTCAATTAATTTTATAAAATTCATATAAATTCTCCCCTCTAATAATTTCGAATTTATTTATCCTTAATCACAAATAACCTATACCAATATATTAATATATATATAACACCAT